GATTCGAAGGATAAAGAGACGAAGCGTTTACCTGCTCCAACCGGGACAGCAACATTCCATTTACTCTTGATTTCCTTTGACATTTGCAGGTTAGCACCCCTCTCTCTCTCTCTTACCCTTACGATTTCCATGGAGTGGATGGTGACATTTTATCAATGCCTTGAACTTGACTCCTAACTTATCCCGGTGTTTTGGACAAATTGTGAAGTCGTGGCCTCCTTCATCAAACAACCTCTTGCATGCAAGAATTAGTTCTTTCTCAGAAGAGACACTTGTTTGGGATATAGAGATTTGTCGTAGATGAGCACTTATATCTCTAGAACAGGAGCTCAGAGGAAGAAGCTCGTTTCCTCAAGGTGAAATATCACAGTGAGTCATAGTACGAGGCAAAAGAACAGGAAAGATTAGACTTTTTTTTACTACGTGAGGGTCACGAAGAAAATGACTTTGTTGTACCAATGTGCCACTTACAAACCCCGACAAATTTGTTTACTTTTTAGTGTAGACATAATTATTTGGCGCACAAAACATCACAGTTCATGTTTCGCTGAAGTTTTTACAGAATAAGTTCAAGAGCAATTTCATGAAAATATATTTAATAAAAGTGGTTAAAAAATGCTGTTAAAAAGAAAAAGGAAATGTACTTTGAAATAAACAAGGCGAGAAAATGTTTTATTGAAGCTGAAAATGGACAGTAACTACAAATAGAATGTCCGTAATTTTCTGTCTCAGCATATTGCTGCAGGAATAGTTTTCTGAATTTTTTTAGGCAATGTCAGGTTAATTTCTTTGTTCCAAGTTCGGGGTCATGAAATTGTTCTTGAACTTATTATTCAAACGATGTAACGCATGTGAAAATTTATTGCTCAGCTCATACACGTTATGTATGCGTAATAACACTCTGTGCTGTATTGAAAAATACCATAGTTTGCTCTGCCATATTAACTTACATTGATTGACAGGTAATCAATCAAATTACATGAAACTACCATATATAGCTCATGAAGGACCTATCTACACTCCTGTGCAGCCACAACTGAATTGGATGAAATGCTCAGATTTAAGAGCCCCTTACTTTTACCCTTATGAAGGGAAGTATTTCAAGAAATTTATCTAAAAAACGTAAGAGGGTGGTGTAAATCCCCTTCGAAAATTGCAATTGTGAAACTGTTTTGGCTTTTGGAGTTACTGGGTATGCCCTTCAATCTGGCCAAGTTTCACTCAAATCGGTGAGATGGCATGTATCACGTCTACCTGGTCCTCAAGCTTAACACTTCAGAAAACCTTTACTTTCCCTATGATGTATAAAACCAGTTCAACCTTGATGATATGGACAAAGCTGAGTGTATGGCCAAACTTCATTTTAAGAAGTGACACATTCTGCTATTAGAAGAGGTGTTAGAGATCCCTCCTCTAATGAAGTGCAATCAGGGATTGGTTTTCACTGGAACTGAAGGACTCTACATGCTTCTGAAAAGGCTTGCTTACCCTTGTAGATGCTCAGATCTTATTCATTGTTTCGGCAGACCAGTTTAAGTCCTGGGCATGATTACCAACGAGATTATAGAGTAGATATACAATACCCACCATCACAAGATAGCTGACTGGAATAACGATATTCTGAACCCTGTTGCGCTGCAAATGTATGCAGATGCAATTTCAGATAAAGGGGCAGCCTTGGACAACTGCTTCGGCTTCATAGACGGCACTGTAACATTGATTTCTAAACCCGGTGAACGACAGAGTGATGTATAATGGCCACAAGAGGGTCCATGGCATCAAGTTCCAATTCATTGCACTGCCAAATGGCCTCATTGGTAACATGTATGGCCCTGTTGGTAAGAAAGTAAGCTAACAATGTGATTATAGTTGAGCGTTATCAAGAGTAGAGGGATCGGCACTAGGGGGGAGAGAGCAATTAAATTTAATTTTATTAACCAGAGAACTTCAGCAAGCCGGATTCACAGAGCAAAAATTTGGTTCTTACCCTCCTTTTCCATTTTCAGTTAACCATCCAACGTCTTCTTTGCAGAACAAGCACTGGAGGTCAGAGGTAACAGAACCCCAGGGATAAATATTTTCAGACTACCTCCCCAATACCTGAATGTGAATGGTCTATGGGTCTATGAACAAACCCAGTGGTCCTTCCCTCCCTCTGAGGAAAAGTATTAATCTGTTACATAAAAACAGTTTGTCTTCCATGTTGATCACCACGGTGAAGAAGAAAGAAAAGATGATGCAAGTATGTTGACAGAGTCTGGTCTCTTGAGGGAACTGCAGCAGAATGCAATCTTGCCAGCTGGGCCGCCTCTGTGCATCTATGGGACCCTGCATACCCACCAACGGTGCTTTTGCAGGGTCCATTCAGGAATGCCCACTTAACTCCCCAAATGCAGCAGTTTAACAAGTGTATGAGTGAAGTTAGAACATCTGTTGAATGGCTATTTAATGACATAATTAATTACTTTAAGTTTCTTGATTTAAAAAAAGAAACTTAAGGTCGGCTTAAGTAGCACAGGGAAAATGTATATTGTATCAACTCTCTTTCACAATGCTCTCACTTGCTTGTATGGCAATAGCACATCTGAGTTTTTTGATGTCCAGCCTCCAAGCCTGGAGGATTATTTTGCTTAAACATCATAAAGATTGAATACCTGTAATGACAAGTATGGTTTAATCAACAACCATTATGTATAAGAAATGACAAGCGAAATAAGAATTTAACAAAAACAACTGCAAGGCTGTTAACAGCAGGTCAAATTAGTGAGAGTTGATAAATTAATGATGGAGATAACCACAGTTCTTTGTTGTAAAGCCTCTATTCTCAACACGTCTCCAAGCCATGAACAGAATAAAAAACAAAATCACTTGATTTTGAATTTTTAAAAGGTTTGATTCTTTCGCTTAAAATGATATACCGCAAACAAGTACACAACCAAATAACTGAGACTTTGTATAAAAGCTGTAACTCAGAGTCTCAATATTCTGCCTTTCATTCAGTTCTACGTTTTAGTCCATTTATCCACAATTGCCAACATAGCTTGGCTTTGTTGCAGGAAAGCTGTTGTAGTGTCTTGCATCTTTAATAAAAAAAATTCCAAATTACATTACATTGAGCAAATCAATTCAATGAATTTGAGGACAGCTTAAAACAGAATACAAGATTCCTTAATATAAGCCGCCTTAGTGTATCATTGTATGATTGTATACCTGCTGACATTGCATCTGTTGCAACATACTATTTTGTTGTTCAGTAATTTTCTGCTGCTCAGATTGCCTTTCTGCCCTCTCTTCTTGCTTCATCTTCATGCCTTTTTCCAGTTTTTCTCTCATGAACTCAAGTATGTCTGATCCACTACATCTTCCTTTCTTTTACTTCTGACCAGTAGCTGTCAGCCCAGTAGCTTCCCTGTGCTTCTTGCTCTCTCCAGGTTTTAACATAGCTTGAAGATGCATTTCTTCAGCATTTGCCTTGTCTTGTAATTCACTCTTTTGAGTCGATTCCTCTAGATCTAACTCTACTTGTGCTGCTTGTTCTGAAAGTTCTGGGACTTTAACTCCTGACGCTTTTTCCTCTTCTCTTATTTTTAATTTATAGTTTTTCAGCCACTCCTTGCTCGGTCTCTGACAGACTTCTGTGAAACCTGGAGACGTGGTGCATGAACAGCATTCAGGTTTGATGCAACAAGTTTCCACGCCTGCCCACTCTCACGGCTTCTGTTCTTAAATTTGTAGGGTGCAACTGTCAACATCTCTCTGGCTAGGAGTATATCATGTTCTTTTGACCATTTGAAATTTCTGGGATAACAAAGTGATGAAAAGTACACACACCATACTCAAAAAGTCAACTTACCTACAAATCAAAGCAACTATCCCCCTCCCAGAAAACCAAAGGAATGAACACGCATCAAATATGTGGGGTTTTTCTCCACTGCCTATATCCTCATCCCAGTGAAGGGAAATAAAGAATTTTATTTTAACTAAGTTGCAGTTATAAAAGTAATTCATTCTTTATTTCCAGGGTTTTGCACAGGGGATTTCTGAATATACAGATTGCATTTTCACAAAGAAAATTTCAGACAATTGGCAAGAGCAAATGCGGAATTTATGAAAAAATTCCTTTGTATAAATTTTATGGGACCAATTGTGATTGAGAACAATTTGCAACTGACATCGAAATGTAGTGACTGAAATTTCTTTTACCAAAGAAATACACAGTGATGATTGTTTATATAGTACACCTTTGCCTTACATCGACTTACTTTCAGTATAACGGTAAACACTACAAACAGTTGCATGGAACAGCCATGGGGTCGCCTGTTTCTGTTGTCGTCGCAGAAATTGTGATACAACATGTGGAGGAACACACCCTTGCAACTTGCTGACAAACAATACTGCTTTGGTTACACTACCTTGATGACACCTTCACCACTGTTCACAAAGAAGGAAGTGACGATTTTCATGACCAACTAAACAAACTGAATGCCGACATCCAGTTTACTGAAGAGATCGAAGAAAATGGAAAACTTCCTTTTTCTAGACTGTGTGGTAGGCCGAACGCATGCCGACAGATTACTCGACGAATCATCCTACAACCCAACTTCACACAAAGCCACGACTATAAAGACTTTCACAAGATGAGCACAACTAGTTTGTGACACACGGGATAGCTTACTTGACGAAAACAGATACCTTGAAAGTGTTTTTCACAAAAAACTATAACACTGACTTTATTACACGAAACATTTACCAACCTACTGAAGCTGATGCAACGAACAAGAACCCAACCGAATCTTGATTCTTGAAAGCATCGAGAATCTAGGATTGAGTTTGGAGACGAGACTTCAACTTACATTTTCCCAGTACTGTTGTTTGGTTTATTTAAAAGGTACTGCACAGATTATTGTAACAATATTTTTTGATTGAAATTTGCTGAAGACACTGATGAAAGTAATTTCCCTTTTTCTCTTGTCTGTTGCTGCTTTGGTCTCGCTAAGAAGTCCACAACAATGGATTTAACGGAGAAGCAGGGTAAGTGTTTGAAGGGCGTGGTAAATCACATGGTAAATAGTGTAAGTGGTAGTATACAGTATTGTAAATAACCAAATGTGTTGCTGAAGAACTAGAACAATCATTTGGACGTTCTGTATGTAGATAGCATATCCTTTGAAAGTCAATTTAGCTTTGGTAGTCACGTGCAATTTGCAATGAATAACCTCAAGTAACCACTGCACTTTTTTTGAAAAACGTTAAGAATGCTGCATGAGCCCATAATCACATGCACTTGTTAATTTTTATTGATGAGCAATTTCTTTGAGATCGATTTTGCAATTAAAAAACTAACGATAAATCAGAGGCCGTATGCCTGGGCTGCCTCGTGTCACTTGTTTACTAACTACTTAATAACCAAGAGTGAGGTCGTTACGGGAAAATCTCAAACTGAGGCCTTGCCGTATTGCCCGAGCGATAGCGAGGTCAATACGGTAGGCCGAGGTTTGAGATTTTCCCGTAACAACCGAACGGTCGAGGTTATTAAGTTGTTTATTATATGGCTCA